GGGGGGATTAAGGATAAAAAGAAGAATGGGGATCAAAGCATCAGAAGATGACGATTGACTTTTACATATAAATTTTTGAAGATTGTATTTATCATGGAAGCAAGTAAGAGGAAGGGAGTTCCACTGTCTGGAAGTTTGAGGGAGCTGTTGTAGTAGAAGAGGCGGTTACATTTAGCTGTTTCAACAGTAAAAGGGTGGGACCTAGATGCCAATATAGTAGCATGCTTAAATTCATGCAGTCGGAGCACCAGGGCAAAAAGCTCGTCAGAGCAGTTGCCATGAAAATATTTATAGAAAAGGCAGAGGGAAGCCACTTCCCATCTGTGGGAAAGTGACTAGAGTCGAGATACCAGGCCAGGGCCTATCACATTGCATATCCGTTTTTGGATTTTGTTGAGAACCTCGAAATGAACAGCAGGGGCAACAGACCATATATGGCAACAGTAGTCAATCCAAAGACGAATGGTAGATTTGTAGGATGGACTCAGACGAGAAAAAAACCTCTGACACGACACAGGACAAACTTTCCTTGCAGTAGATGCAGCTATTGATTCAATGTAGTTGTTCCACCTCCGGTCAGTGGAGAACGTGAGACCAAGAAGTCGGAGTGAGACGCTCTCTAGAAGTCGAGCATCCACCATGCTGATAGAGAGTAGGGAAGTTTCTCTATTGTAGTTAAATGAAAAGAGTTTCGTTTTGGAGGCATTAAAATTTACAAGCCATTTCTTGCCCCAGTTAACCACTAATTGAAGGTCCTTTTCGAGACCAACGGTAAGGTTTATTATTAAGACAGGAGTAAATGATAGTGTCACCTGCATAGATGCCTGTTTGAGAACTGATGACATCAGGAAGATCATTGATGAACGTTATAAACGGTATAGGACCCGGGATAGAGCCTTGCAGGACACCAGCCTTCGTATAAAAGAAACTGGTAGAGTGCCCGTTCAGGACGAACTTCATTTCACGATTTGACAGGAATGACTGGATTAAATCAAATAATCATCCTATAATATCGTATCCTAGAAGGCCAGCATGCAAAACTCTGTCAAACGACTTATATTTCGATCCTTATCCAGTAATATGGAGCTTAAATAGAAGACCAGCGTACCAAACCCGGTTAAATGCGTTCGAGATTCCTAGAGCCATAGCTCGAGCTTCGCCGTTATTATCAAGAGCTTCGTATACATATTCAGTTATGGCTGTAGGGACATCAGCAGTAGCCCGGGCAATGCGGAAACTGTATTCTTTTTCCGAGAGTAGATCGTGGGTGGTAAGATGTTTAACCATTTCGGCATTGATAAAAGCCTCAAAGACTTTGCCAAAGAGTGGTAGGAGACTGATAGAGCAGTAGTTAGAGGGGTCAGAAGTTTCCAGAATTCTTAAAAACAGTGACGACGGAGGACTTCCAACAGGCTGGAAATGAAAAATCAGCGAGGCAATATCTGTCTATATTTCTGAGATGAGGTATTATGTACACTATTTACATTATTCGGACTATTGTCCTCATTTTGAAGCCATATTTATTACAATGTTGTGGTTGGAATGTCGAACGGAACCATTTATTTCGCTCACTGGGGTAGACTGTTCTAGTTCCACGTGCCATGTCTAATGGATGTCAGTTATCTGCACACACGTGGCAGAGTGGATAAAGGAATTGGTTAGATCCAGTGACAGGACCCAAACAGTGTGAGTTCAATACCCGGTTAAGGCAGTGGACAACTTGGAGAGGGAAATAAATATAATTGTAATAAATATGGCGACAAAGATGAGGACAATAGTCCGAATAATGTAAAAAGCGAGGCAATAGTTGTATAGTTTGGAGAGAACTGGAGCCAGCTCAGAAGCACATTTATTTAGGACGACGACTGGTATTCTGTCACCCCCCACTTGCTTTATGAGAGTCTAATTTACAGATGATAACTCAATTGAGCCTCGGTTCTTGTGGGAAAATCAGGTGTAGTCGCTCAGGATGAATCGAGTGATGAGTTGAATGAGAATTCCTGAGCAAAGCATTCACACTTATCTGCTGTGAATGCCAAGACTTCAAACTGATTGAACAGAGTTGGGACTGAGGATTTGCTGTTGTTCCGCACACTCTTGCAGAGCCGCCAATAATCTCTAGAACCAAACTTGCGAGGTGCAATACGTTGTTTAACTCTATCAGCAAACAGTAACTTTGCTTCGTGGAGAACACGCTTGCACCATTACGAGTAGAGACAAAGAGAGGTCTGTCGCTCTGGTACAACCGGAAGAAGTGGTTCCTGTGGGCTATAGCGGCTGAACCTTGGTATTTCCTTGCTGGAATGAAAGCATCGTTGCCGGCTTCTACCAAGGAGATGACCTCAGACGCATATTTTTGAATTGGATGATTAAAAACTACATTCCAAGAAATGTCGCGAAGGAAATCACGGAAGAAGTCCAGGTCTGGGGCATTGATATCAGAAAGATTTTCTGTTGTGGTTCCTGACTTGAGGGGGAGGTGAAGGAGATGTTTACAGACGCTACTGCGTGATCAGAGTTGGTAAGAGTGCCGAGCTGCGTAGCGAGACAAGAGTCACGGATAAAGGTAAAAAGTGGAAAGTTAGGCAGGGTTACTCAAGAGTAGAGTTTGGGGATAATTTACGGGCAAAGAATTCAGCTTTATCAACAGAGGATGATGATATTACAAATCGATTGAAGAGGGGAGGAATAGAGACCTTACACTTATTTAGTGCTGTAGTACCAATAACCACAAGAGCCAAATGTTTTAGAGGCTATGCAGTGACCCATTCTCTCAGCAAACAGAGACTTTTTCGAGGACTTTGTTACGAGTAGTAGCAAATAAGCACCTGTTATGACGAGAGCAGTCACGCTGGTATAGCTGGAAATAGTGGTTCCTGTGAGCTATAGCGGACGATCATGTTGGTGTGAACCATGGAGAGGATTGCGATTACACCTGATATTCTAATGTCTTTTAACCCTTTCATTCATTCATTCTATCTATCTATCTATCTATCTATCTATCTATCTATCTATCTATCAGCGTTCATGTCTATCTATTTCTGTCAGTTCGTATCTATCTATCTATCTATCTATCTATCTATCTATCTATCAGCGTTCATGTCTATCTATTTCTGTCAGTTCATATCTATCTATCTATCTATCTATCTATCTATCTATCTATCTCTCTATCTATCTATCTCTGTCAGTTCATATTATTCATCTATCTATCTATCTATCTATCTATCTATCTCTATCTATCTATCTATCTCTGTCATTCATTCATTCATCTATCTATCTCTGTTGTATCTATCCTTCATAACTATTACATTTATCTATTCTTAAAATAGTTAAGAAATTATCTATCTATCTATCATATCTATGTTGTCTTCTTCATCTATCTATCTATTCATTCATTATCTCAGCCTGTTCATTTTTCTATCTATCTATCTATCTATCTATCCATCTATCTATCATTCTATCCCAGCCTGTTCATATCTAATTTTCATCTATCTATCTATTATCATCTATCTATCTATCTAAATAGCTCAGTCAATGTATGCCAAATATTTGCTTGTATAAAAAACTAATATTACCATTACCAGGTATGTTTCTGTGGAATTATTAGAGTTTAGGTTAGTCTATTTCTATTCCTTTGAATCTCTTCACCAATCTAAACAGAAAATGGGAATTCGATACTATTTTTTGTCTCAAAATATCGTTAGATCTGGTGCCATAGATTCTTTCGTACTCCCTATTTTACTCAATGACAAACCCAGACTCTGGGTCAGGCAACCATGTCCTCTTCACTTGGGCAATTTTTCGCAACGTGATTTTTCTATTTGTCTCAGTGACAGATCTTTCTGTCGATGCAAATATCCGATAAATGCGACATCTCATCAGGCACACACATATCACAATAGGAGCGATTTTAGAGTTGTCGCGAATATTTTGTTTTTTAACCATTCCATATAAAGGCCCTTTTTTACGCTAATATTTGCGTTTTTGAATCTTGCAATTCGTATAATCCTTATTTACTATAACATTTAACAAAGTCATTAATCTTATTTTCCTTTCATTGGTCAATTTTGCATTGCCTTTATTATTGCCAAATTCATCATTGATCATAGCCTTGCTCTCCTAGTGGCATATAAGGCTAAAATATGACATTTAACAATAGTCAATATAAAGCCTTTATTTTCCCATAGATCCTCTACTAATGCATCATAGCTTCATTGCAATTCCTTTAATATTGCTACTTTTTTTAACCCTTTCATTCCATCATTGATCATATCTCTTCCCTAGTGGCATAAAAGGCTAAAATATGACATTTTAATAATAGTCAATACTATTTTTTAGATCCTCTATAGTAAAATAGCTTGATTTTTTAATTTTAATTTAACCCACATTCCATCCTAGCTAGTGGCACATAAGGCTAAAATATGACATTTTAACAATAGTTATAAAGCCTTTATTTTCCCATAGATCCTCTTAGTAATGCATTAGCTTGATTGCAATTCCTTTAATATTGCTACTTTTTACCCTTTTCATTCCATCATTGATCATAGCCTGCTCTCCCTAGTGGCACATAAGTTTAAAATATCATTTTAAAATAGTCAATATAAAGCCTTTTATTTTCCCATAGATCCTCTATAGTAATGCATCATAGCTTGATTGCAATTCCTTTAATATTGCTACTTTCTTTTTAACCCTTTCATTCCATCATTGATCATAGCCTTTTCCTAGTGGCAATAAGGCTAAAATATGACATTTTGAACAATAATAAAGCAAATTTTCCCTTAGATCCTCTATAGTAATGCATCATAGCTTCATTGCAATTCCTTTAATATTGCTACTTTCTTTTAACCCTTTCATTCCATCATTGATCATAGCCTCGCTCTCCCTAGTGGCACATAAGTTTAAAATATGACATTTGAACAATAGTCAATATAAAGCCTTTATTTTCCCTTAGATCCTCTATAGTAATGCATCATATTTGATTGCAATTCTTTAATATTGCT